GTTGGAGGCGTAAAGAACTCCAAACTCGTAAGTCCGGCGCGAACCATATCGAGCCAGTTGATATAAATGACATCTTACGAGATAAACTTGTTCTCCGGATCGAAGATCTTGAGTACATCGGGAACGTCACATAGGTACACGCCTACGCATTCTGCCCGGCACTCCTCGAAGGGAGAAGCAAGACTGGAGAATTTTGAATCCCATGTTTCACCCGGTTCGTACCTAAAATGTGTTCGAAGGGAAAGGAGGATCAGATTATAAATCCGGTACAGGTAAATGAGGGCATTCTGATAGAACAAACCTTCTCCACGAAAACAGAAAACAGCCACAATGGACTAGGCGAAAATAAATTGAAAACAGACGATTCCAAAATCTAGTATGGTGCAGATATGCATCTTAATGCTGGGGAGGATCAAAGCAGAAAGTGGTGAGGGTAAAAAACTGTTATCGACTAGGATTCTTGAATTGAAAGCAAAAGCCATTAGTTGTTCGATAGTGCTACTGGAATTACAATCAAGGGCATCCTTAGAGTGACTACGCGGTAGAGTTTAATAAGGGTTAGTAGCAAAGATTTTAAGTGTCTGTTTGTGTTTAGAAAGAAACTCAATATTGTGGAGTGCGTGAATTTGTGTTACGTAAGGGGGACGTGCAAATAGGCACTTGGTTTTTTCCGGTAAATTAAACTAAATGCATGGCTGAGGGAAAATCTGCTTAATTTACTGGCCTATTTCGGTTGACACCCTTATGAAGCGGTTTAAGGCGACGAGAACGAATGGTTGAATATAAATTCCAGACGCAACGTTCTGAGGCTTATTCAGAATATTGAAGTCTACGTTTTCTGTAAATGTTGCATACAAAGATCTTAGGGCTCCCGTGAATGATAAAGAAGCAACGACGGGCTGGAGAGCGAGACCAAAAATTCACAAACAGAGGTATATACTTTATGCTGACTGTATAGTTATATCGGCATAAGTACTCAAAGTCTAATTTTTAGTGTTCAAATGACTTCGTTGATATCTTATCTTAAACGTTTAAAATATCACTTAAACGGAGGAAAATTGGTTGCAATCACGATTTCGCTTATTCAAATGTAAAAGTTCTGAAAATAACAGGATACAGTAAACTACCCTATATACTTGATGAGAAACCATAGAGGACCTAATAGTAACAACATACCAATAAAAATATACGTAACAGTGTAACGAACCACGCGGTTCATTTCTACTCCTTCATTCCGTTCTCCTCCCACACGTTAAGTCTAACGTTTTTT